CAGTGGGGGCTAAGTTTCTAATACATAAAACTTAGGAGACACAATTCAAGCTTCAGGGAGTTTTGGGGGGACATAATTCAATCCACCACACCCCCTATCTCCAGCCCTTGACAACAACCATTCTACTCTCTGCTTATATGAGTTTGACTATTTTATTTTAGATTCCTCATATAAATGGTATCATGTAGTATTTGTCTTTGTGTGGCTTATTTCACTTAACATCATCATGTCTTCTGTGTTCATCCATGTTGTCCCAAATGTCAGGATTTCCTTCTTTTCTAAGGCTGAATAACATTCCATTGTGTGTGTGTGTGTGTGTGTGTGTGTGTGTGTGTGTGTACATACACCACATTTTCTTCATCCATTCATCTGTCAGTGGGCACTTAGGTTGCTTCCATATCATGGTTATTGTAAATAATGCTTCAGTGAACATGGGGGTACAGATATTTCTTCTAGATTCTGATTTCCATTCCTTTGGATTATGTATCCAGAAGTGGGATAGCTGGATGATATGGTAGTTCTATTTTTAATTTTGGGGGGAACCTCCATAGTGTTTTCCATAGTGGCTGTACCAATTTACATTTACTCCAGGGAATGTAAATTCCTTGTTTAGGAGAGTTCCCTTTTCACCTAATCCTTACCAACACTTATCTTTTGTTTTCTTTAATAATAGTCATCCTAACAAGTGTGAGGTGATATCTCCTGTGGGTTTGATTTGCATTACCCTGATGATTAGGGATGTTGAGCACATTTTCATATGCTTTTTGGCTATTTGCAGCTCTTCTTTGGAGAAATGTCTGTTCAGTTCCTTTGCTCATGTTAATAATCAGGTCGATTTTTTGCTAGTGAGTTGTAGGAATTTCTTATGTATTTTGTACATTAACCCTTCATCAGATATATGGTTTGCAAAATATTTTCTCCCATTCTGTAGATTGCTGTTTCATTTTGTTGATTGTACCCTTTGATGAGCAGAAGCTTTTTAGTTTGATGTAGTCTCACTTGTCTATTTGCATTTTTGTTGCTTGTGCTTTTGCCATGCAGCAGTGTCTTTTTATTCAACCCTGATATTGTTCATTTGTGTCTTATCTTTCTCTTTTTCTCTCTCTCTGGCAGCCTGGCTAATCCTTTATCATTTTTTAAGTTTTTTTGAAGAACTGACTTTTAGCTTCTTTGTTCCTCTGTATTTAATATTTGTTTTATATTTATAAGTTTCTCATTTTATTTTAATTTCCTTCCTTCTGCTTTTTTTTAGGTTTAATGTGCTAGGTTTTTTTTTTTTTTTTTCCCTAACTTAACTGATGCTTACATCATCTTCTTTTCCAGTACATGTAGTTAAGGATACAGATTTTCTTTTCATCATGGCTTTAGCTGTGCTCTGTAAGTTTTGATATGTAGAATTTTTACAATTATTTGGTTCAAAATATTTCCTAATTTTCATTGCAGTTTTCTGAGTCACAATTTCTTATTTGTTTAAAAACATATTTGCAGGTAAATAGGGAGAATAAGTTCTGGTGTTCTAGGCTGACTAGAGCTAATAATATTATACTGTATATTTCTAAGTAGCTAGAAAAGAGGATTTTGACTGTAATCACTACAAAGAAAAGATAAAATGTTCAGTGATGGATATGATATCTACCCTAAGTGTCTCATTGTACAATATATGTATGTATTGAAACAACACAGAGTATTCTACAAATATGTACAATTAAATTATAAAATAAAGTAAAATTTTAAAAAATGTATTGTCAGAAAGAGGAATTTTTGGGGATCTTGTTATTGATTTCTAATGTAATTCCATTGTGGTCAAAGAGCATGCTTTCTAATTTTAATTCTTTGAAATTTGTTTGAGACTTGTTTTTGGCCTTGTACATAGTCAGTTTTGGTAAATATTCCTTAAGTAGCTGAAGGTACATTTTGCTGTTGTGTTTAGTGTTTAAAATATTCAGTTATTTCCAATTTATTGATTATGTTGTTCAAATCTCTATCTACTTTTTATTTGTCTGCTTATTTTATCTGTTACTGGGAAGGGTATGTTAAAATCTCCTATTATGATTGTGAATTTGTCTATTTATCCTCCTAATTCTGTCAATTTTGATATGTGTATATAAAGCTGTGTTATTACATACAAGTTTAGAATTTTCATATATCCTTGGTGGATTGAAATTTACCCTTAGGAAATATTCAACTTTTTCTCTTGTAATGCTTCTTGCTTTAAAGTCTACTTTTTCTTAAATTAGTGTAGCTACACCAGATTTCTTTTGGCTTAAGTTACATGGTAATATCCTTCCCATCCTTTTACTTTTAACTTTTTTTTTTTTTTGTCCTTTTTGAGACCGTCCGCACCTCGCTCAGCCAGTGAGCGCTGTGAGTGCACTGGTCATCCCTATATAGGATCCGAACCCGCGGCGGGAGCGCTGCTGTGCTCCAGTGCCGCACTCTCCCGAGTGCGCCATTGGCTTGGCCCTACTTTTAACTTTTTAATAATTATTTTTAAGGATACAAAAGCTTACATATTCTTTTGTAAGGAGCATATTGTATGTGTGTGTTTGATCTAGTCTGACAGTCTTTGTCTTTTAATTGCAGTCTTTAGTCCATTTATTTTTAATGTAATCACAGATATATTTGGGTTTAAATATACTATCTTATTGCTAGCTTCCATTTAACTTATTCTTTTTTTTTTGGTGACTGGCTGGTACAGGGATCCATACCCCCTTGACCTTGGTGTTATCAGCACCACGCTCTAAGCAAGTGAGCTAACTGGCTAGCCCCAACTGGTTCTATATTTTTCATCTCCTTTCTTGCCTTCTTTTTATTATTCTACTTTTTTTCCCCCCCATTAGCTTGTTAAGCTTTTAGAGATTACAACTTGGATCTCTGAGTTAACTAAAGTCTAATGTAAATTAGTACTATATCACTTCCTGGGCAAAACAAGGGCTTTAGGACACTTTAATCTCGTTTAGTCACCTCCTAGGTTATATGTTATTATTAGTATAGTAATTCTCAGTATGAATTTTAAAGCTCACAAAATATTACTGTTATCACTTATTCTTTATGTTGCTCTTTGTTACTTTCTGCATCTCCTGTTTTCTATTTAGGGTTATATTCCTCCTGCTTGAAGAATATTCTTTAGTGTTTTTCTAGTGTAGGTCTGCTGGTGATACATCTTCTCATGTTTTATTTGTTTAAAAATTTTGTTCACCTTCATTTTTGAAGGATATTTTCACCAGGTATAGAATTCTAAGATGGAAGTTTTCTTTCTTTCATCCCTGGCTTTCATCTTCTTACTGAGAGGTGTAGCTATCAGTCTTATTGTATCTGCATGTCTTGACTGCTTCTAAGATTGTCTCTGGCTTTTAGCAGTTGTACTGTGATGTACCTTGGTGTGATACACACACACACACACACACACACACACCTGTTTTTTTCTGCTTGTGGCTCAGGATGCTTCTTGAATTTGTCACTTGATATCTATCAGTAGTTTTGGAAAATTATCAGCCATTATGTCTTCAAATATTGCTTATGTCTTAATCTATTATTCCTCTTCTTTTGGGACTCAGATTACATGTATGTGTAAGAGCTTGCGAATGTGTTTCACATGTCTTTATGTTCTTTGGTGTATTAATCATCTTTTAAAAAAATTTTTATGCTTAATTTTGGATATTTTCTTTTGAACTGTTTTCTAGTTATTTAAACTTTCTCTTCATCTCTGTTTTGTCTTCTGTTAAACCTATACTTTGAATTCTTAATTACTCTTCATTGTGTTAAAGTTTCAGAATATCTCTTTGATTTTTAATTGTTTCTAGTTCCATGGCAAAATTCTGTGTCTTCTCTTTCAGTTCCTTGAGCATATTAATCACACTTATTTTAATCACTATTTCTGATAACTTTGTTATATGGATCTCCTGTGTACTTGTTTATATTTATTTCCCCTGTGGCTTTTGGTGCAGTCTTATCTTTTTGTATGTCTAGGTAGTTTTGTTTGCATGTCAGAGATTTTGTATGATGATTTGAAATAATTGTGGTGGTAATAGGAGTCTCTGAGTGATGGTATCTTCCTTCAGAGAATATTTTATTTTGCTTCTGGCAGTTAGATAGATAGGGCCAGATCACTTTAACCTAATCTGAAACTGAAATGGCTTGAAGCTGAAGCCATTGTGAAGTCTGGATTGTCTCTGGTTATTACTAGAGGTCATAACCCGTTAGGATCTCAACCAAAAGTTTGGTGTATTTACTAAGGCCCTCTTCCTTGGTGGCCCCTGAGCTCAAATTTGTGTCGTTCACTGACTGTGAGACTGCCAAAAGCTCAGCTCTTTTCCTCTGGCTCTCAATAACTACTTTTGGAATTGGAATATGCCTTGGAAAAAAAAGCTGTCAAATGCTGGCATTTCGACTTTTTCAGATCTTCACCTCCAAAATTCTTAGTCATGGTCTTCTCCTGATGCCTTCAAACAGATGTGTGTATATGTGTATGCACACACATGTGTTATTTTGTCCAGTTTTTCTAATTGTTCTCAGTAGGAGGGTAGATGTGAGAAACCTAGGCTACCATTGCTGGAAGCAGAAGTGCTGGAAACGCTTAGAGCAGAGCATAATGTCTTCACCTTTAGCACAAAATCTGATCATTACTGATGGTTGAATGGCTGGCTGTGCCGTGAACACTTCTATGGCTTGGGTTTCATCTTTGAAATTGCTGTGTCCCTACAGCAAGTCTTCCCAAGCTCACACTGTTGACATTCTGGGCCAGGTGATTTTCTGTGGTGGGGGCTATCCTGTGCATTGTAAGACGTTTTGTAGCATACCTAGCCTTTACCCAGTAGATGCCAGTAGCACTCCATGCCACGACTGTGGCAACTGAAAATGTCTTCAGATACTTGTATCTGTTCCCTGGGGGGCAAAATCACTTCTGGTTGAGAACCACTAGCATAATGTGAGTGGTGCTCAGTAAAGACCATGGTCAATGTGCTGATGTTCTTTAATGATGACTTTCTTTTTAACCGTAGGGTTTGAAACCGCCAAGTCTTTTGCCCTGCATGGTGCACACGTGATCCTGGCCTGTAGAAATATGGCAAGAGCCAGTGAAGCAGTGTCACGCATTTTAGAAGAATGGGTGAGAACTTGACTGTTTTTTTGTTGTTTTTAATTTTCAAATACACATGCTGGGCTAAACACATGGAGGTTTTAGTGCAGTGTGTAAAGTTTATTGCTCTTGGAATGTTTTTATTTTTAAAGTCATCTTCACTTTGTTTATTTTATGAATGAAAGGATGAGCAAGCCCCTTATTATCCACACATTTGTTTATAGTTCATTGTCAGTGTCATCTGCTTTATTAGTCAGAGGTTTGAGAATGTTTACTCATTTATAAAAGAAAAATAAAAAGTAGTTAACACCCATGAATGCAACTATGAGGTTGTTATGCTCATGGTTTTTAAGATTAGAAAGGAGTAGGCATTAACCCTTTCTCTGGTCTTTAGCTTTTCTCTCTCTGTGTAGATATTGGTTTCAATATGTCTATGTATAAACATTTGTTGAAGGCTTGCAGTGCTCTTGGGACTAAGGATACAGCATCAAACAAAGAAAATCCCTGCCCTCACGGACTTACCTTCAAGGTTGGAGAAATAGACCATAAGGGATAATCATGTTTAATATTTAACATAATGTCAGGCTGTTATAAGTACAATAAATAGCAATTAAGTAAAGATGGGGAGTGACAGAATGAGCTGTTTCATATGGGGTGGTCAGCAGAGATCCCTCTAAAGTTGTAACATTTGACCCGAGACCTTGTGAATGTGTTGATTGTTTGCATTGTATTGGTATTACAAGCAATGCTGTTTTACAGCCCAGTCCCTCTTTCTTGCAAGTCTCCCAATCTATTTGGTACCTCAGTTTCCCCATCTCTAATGAAGAAGGTTGAATGGTATGATCTTAAAGACCCACCATTCAGTCTCTCTTTCTTGTGTTTTAAGCCATAATTGGGTCCCTGTGAGTCATTTTTGGATAATAGAATACGGTACAGTACCTTGAGGTAAACCAGCAATTCCAGAGAAAGAATTATCTGAAAACATTCACTATCAGGGACATGGAAAGGAAACACAAATGAAAACAAAACACTAACATGCTGTTTCAAATGTTTAAATCAGGTTTTATAGATTGTAGAACTTAACCCTTTCATCATTTCTTATCTGTTCGCCTGTTCTTTTTTATATCCCATTGTACTGTGTTCCTCATTCCCCTAGGTTATGATTATGGAAGCCCAGATTTAGTACCCAAAGCTGTCATTACCATTTTATATCTCTGCACTATTAATATAACACAGAGAGTGTGTGAAATCCCAAGACCCTGCTTTGGTGACCTACGTTGGGCTTGGACCCCATGCCATTTTCCGACTTCCCCACCTTTGACATTTACTGGTCTGCTTTCCTTGAGGCCTTTCCTTATCTCACATCTCTGTACAGGGATTTTATCTGGCATATCATTAAATACCACCTTCTTGTGTTTCTCAAGGTCAATTTGATTGACTCCAGTTTTTCAAGCTGTTCGCCAGCTTGAGCGTGTTCATACTTTATCTGGGATGAATCATAGCAATATCAGGGCCAGGAAGGTTCTGCAACATATTGGCACCTCATGGGAGATTCTCAAAATGATCCAAAGTTTTTTGTTGCAGCAAGAGCTCATTCAGAAGTCTTTGGTCCATTTGGCCCAGCCTTGGCTCTCACGTGCCAAGGCTCCGTGGGCATTCTCAGCTCCAGGTCTGGAGATAGGCTCCATTCCTCCTTCCCCAGCTTGTTCTGCCCTGCCTGGTCTTTCTCTTCCTGCCTTCACTACACATTCCAAGATCGCCATGTTCCGGAACATTCATGTCTGCCTCTCTGCTAGCAGCATGCTATTCCCATACCTATGAAGGGGCAGCTAACAATCCCCATTTATCAAATCCCCGTCATGTGCTGTGCCCTGGGCAAAATGCTTCCTATCCCTTATTCAGGTGGATACATAAGTCTGGTTTCTCCATTGTACAGAAGGGCCAATGGACAGCCCAGTGGGTGAAGGACTCACCCAGAGTCTCACAGCTGCTGAACATGGTCAGGCTCCTAGCTTGCCCCATCTGGCTTCCATACCCGAGTCTACGTACTATCCCCCATAACCTGGCTTTCCCACCACATTCAGCACGGCAAGCATTTGTTACCTTTCAGGTTTTGCTTTCAAAATCTCTAGGTACTATTTGAGTGATTACTTTCAAGATCAGTTGTATTTCTTAGAGGAAGCAAATCTGATCTACTCTATGGTCTATTTACATTCAAGATAATCTTTTTAGATCTCTCAAGCCACTTTCGGGGAGATCCAACTATCTCATAAAATATAACTTAAGTGAAAATACATTCCATATAGAAGTATATTAAGAACGTATATTAATTACTACTACTAATAATTATTTCATGGGAAAATGCCCTCCTGCTGAGATGGTTTGCATTCTCCAAAGTGAAGAAATGAGAACAATGAAAATAGGATAACATGGATGGTGCAGATGTAAACCACCCTCCTAAGAGGCCAATCTGTTTAGCGTAATTAAAAATGGAAGGAGCAGAGGGAGGCCCATCGTCCCCAGTGATATTTAAATAAGGTATCTCTGGAAATGGGGTTCATGCCCGTATTGTTAAACAGTCCACAGATGTACAGACATGGTCTACGTTGTCCACATCCTTATGTGGATTACAGACTGGTGTCCCTTACCTCGTAGACAAACACCTGATTTTTTCCTAGGTATTCCAAGAAGCCGGTGTGGTTGACTGAGTAGGAAGTTTATCTTTTCCTCTTTCAAGATGGAGTGGATTCTTTTTCACTTAGCAGCAGAGTCTACATGTTAGGATTCCTTGTGAGTTCTCTTAGTCTGGGCCACTGATAGGTATGTGGTTTATTCCATCCTTTACTCAGTAAGTATTTACTGGGGAAGGATTTTGTTGCTGTCTGGCATATCCCCCTCCCCATCCTGAGATCTGAGGACCTCCAAGGGGCATTACATGTAAAGAACAATAGTTGATTAGGTATCAAAATACACATAGTAAACAGCCACAGCAAGACCTCAACATCCCAATGTAGATTTCTTAACAGGCGTTTAGTGGAGCTTCCAATTCGTCCTTCCTCTCATCCTATTACAGTGTCTGGATTTTGGATCCCTACAACTTGGGATGTAAAACTTTCGGTTCTGTGGAGCAAGGACGGTGAGGAGGACCAGAGCAGATGGGCCTGAGTTCACCCACCTATGTACTAGCTGTTTGCAGGGAGAAAAGGGGTGGGTTGTGGCTGGGGCCGTGGCTGGGGTGGGGTAGGGAATGAAGAAAGGGGAGGGCCTATTATGAGTGGCCAGCCTGCCTCGTGTGTGGGTGTGCACAAGGTCTGTTTATCCTGTAAATACAGCCGAGCTCACACTGGGGACTGACCATTAGTGGAGTGTGGGGCCCAGGGAATGTTGTGAAACTCTGTATCAGCTGGGGATGGAGACAGCCAATGGGTTGAGCAGAAGTGGGCTGGCATGGGAAAAGGGGCTGATGGCTCTCTTTTGGAGTTATTATCCTGTCCTTAACACCCCAGAATGTGTCTTGAACCAGTTCCCCTGTCACACGGGAAGGATGTCCCAAGTATGTGTACTTTGGTGAGGAGATTTGGGCCACATAAAAGACCTCAAGCACATGCTTTCTTAACTTGTCTCAGTTTGGCCCAGACTTTGCATCTTCCTGGAGACCGGTCAGGATGACATGCCATCAGCCAGAAGAATGCAGCAGGGATCCAGCTCAGCTATTCTGGTCTTTTCATGGGAAAAAGATATAACCAGGATTCCCAAGAGGCCTGGGGAAGGCAGGATGGGTAGTCTTCAGGGTGCCTCATGGGGTGGTGTTTTCGTGGTACAATGGCCTCAGTCCAGAAACTGGTCTCACAGTGCCCTGGAGCTGGGCTGACATTGACTCACTAAGGATCAAAGTGTGTAAAATAGGCCCTGCTCACTCCCCATGCTTCATCTCTCACCCCCACTGTAACAACCAAAAATATCTCCAGACATTGCCAGATGTCTCCCCCATCCCCACTCCAGAAGTGCAAATCATCCCTGGCTGATAACCATGGCTATAAAATTATGCTATATTATAATGGCAAAGGTTAGAAGCAGATACAACCTACAACTTTGGGCAAGTTTCTTAACTTCTCCAAGCCTCAGTTTCTTCATCTATAAAATGCAAATAATGGTATCTATATCAAGAAATCTAGGTGGTTGTACTCATGTTAAATGCATTGACTGTATGTGCATAGAGTATTAATGCATAGTGGTGATAGATTAAGTGCTCAATTAAATGTTAGCTCCTGCTATTAATAGTAATAATAATTTCTTATTCATACATGAAAGTGCAAAGTGATGCTTACTTATCTTAACCTCTCCAAGTAGCTGAAAGGGGAGCTGTAGGGAAGATATTTATCAGCACCATTCAAATGGAATTGCAGCGAATTCGTTTTCAGTCTTCTTATGTCTGGACTCCTACGTTTTAATAGATGTGTATTTAGTTTGTTGATTAGTATTTTCTAGGGTAGCTTATATTAGCACTCAACTGTCATTTGAAAAGCCATCTTAATTATTTATGTGATTGCTTTTTCTTTTGTATTTATAAAGAAATACACTTTGCATATATTTAGGAAAGATGATTAAGGGATTAGTCATCAGGAACAGCAAGCAATGGTTTGTATTAAAATGGTTATTGAGAAAGCAGGGAGATGAGGGATAAAAATAAAAGATTTATTAGTCAGAGGTAATGGAATATGCATGTTTTAGGGAGAGAACACATGCTTGGTTGATTGTAGCCACACAGTTTGATGCTGAAGTGCTGTAATTCTTCCAGTTTTCCATAGAGTTGATACCAGGTCTATTTACCTTGTTGGAGTGAGGGCATGTGGAAAGCACTGACAGTGCCATGTCGTTGCAGCCTCACTGATAAGCCTCAGAAATGATGACTTTAATGTTATTTTCAGATGTGGAACACTTGGTACCAACCGTTGTAGTAGATGCATGGGCTCAACACTTTGCTGTACTTTTAATGATTCTGACATCCTGTGTTTTCATGACACGATATT